GCTCCCACGATGGACAGTCCTGATCTGGAGATCTGAATTCTTTAACTGAGGGGGGAGAGCCTCCTTTCATGAGGTTTCTGTATGGATAGGGTAGGTTAGGCAGTGGGTACTAACAGCCTCAACCCCTCAGAGACTTAGAACCAAGTTTGTGTCTTGCTCATACTATGTGGGTTGGCAGGGGGTCTTTCTCTCTCTACCCATTGCAGTCACTCAGAGATCAGCTATGGTCCTGCTTTCAGGATCACGTAGCAGGGAAAAGGAAACTGAGTGAATCCTACCCTAGATCTTCACGCCGCCACCCAGAAGTTGCACGTTACTGGAACTCACATTTTATTGGGCCAAGCAAGCATGAGGGTGGAACGATTCAGGCTTCAGTAGAGAACAACTAAAACCACATAGTTAAACCAGATGGCGGTTCTCGAGGTTCATGGCTGGGTTACCCCACCGTGGTTAGAAACATAGCTGCCAATATCTGGGGCTATAACAGCTCCAGGTTTAATGATCCAAGGCCAGGAACACAAGTCAGGAAAGCATTCCAAAGAGGGAGAACCCAAGGTGAGACTTAGCTGGGTAAGTGCAAACTTCTGAGCCGTAATGAAACATTAAATAGGCAGACAGCCAAGCCTCTCCAAGTATCTAGAATGGATATCTAGAAGCTTTACTCTTCCATCTGACATTTATTCAAATGTTAATTCCAATGGACACAGAATGTCTAGTTCTTTAGGGCCCCCTCATATTTCGATTCAATTCCTGACCTCAAAGAACTTCAAACTAGAGGCTTCCTTGGTGGCGCAGTGGTTGAGAGTCCACCTGCCGGTGCATGGGACACGGGTTCGTGCCCCGGTCCGGGAAGATCCCACCGCGGCTGGGCCCGTGAGCCATGACTGCTGAGCCTGCGCGTCCGGAGCCTGTGCTCCGCAACGGGAGAGGCCATGACAGTGAGAGACCCGCGTACCGCAAAAAAAAAAAAAAAAAAAAAAAGAACTTCAAACTAAGAGATTCCAACACCTTCAAATTATTTCACCGTATTATAAAAATGGACACGTTTACTCTATACTTTATTTCCACCAGACATTTCGTATGAAAATGGTAATACCTAAGCATCTATTAATATTCCCATAATAAATTAGCCATGGTTATTGATCTAGAGGTGAAGTGCTAGATATTCATTGAGAACTTTCTCTCTGCTAGACATTTAACATGCTTTATACAATTTGATGCTCCTATCAAGCCTGTGAATTTGTTGTGAGAAATTTGATGCCCAGAGCCTGTTTACCAACCGCTCACCACATTCCAGACCCTGGCATCACATGTTTTACATGGATTATCTCAGTTAGTTCTCACAACAACCTTAGGTAACCACAAAAAGTTTAGGTAAATTTGCCAAGTCACAAAGCTAAAATACAGAGGAGTGGATTTTTGGATTAAGTTTGTCTGTTTGGCAGACTCTATTCCATTACAACAAGCTGTTGTTTATTGAAAAAAAATTCTAAACTAAGAATAACTAAAAAAAAAAATCTGCTTTATCCCATCACATGCTATCAATTAAGATTTCAGTTCAGTTGGACTCATACAATTATATCCGTGGCTTACCTGCCCTCCATTTATTTATTTATTTTTTTACCTAAATTGCCACTTGGATGCACTGCCTTCTGTCAGCAAGGATTCATTTATTACAGAAAACCCTTCCACTGTCGTTTCAAGAGTGAAGGTATTTATCGCTTTCTTAACAGGAAGTCTGGAGTTGATTTATCAAAATCCTGGGTTGGTATTTTGTAATTCTGCGGGACTTCTTAATGCTGCCACCCCAAAAGGATGCCTCACATCCATCACATTTCATCATTCCAAGCAACGATAATGGCAGCTTGAGTAGAGACACCTTAACACATCACTAAACCAGATGGTGCCTGACTCTCACAACAGAGGGCATGGGTAGAAAGCAAAGGGTCATTTAAGGAGGAATGAAGGAAAGAAGAGGGAAGGAGAGAAATCTCATCTGACTCTCTTCTATCAGGTAAGAACCATCTTTTCAAGAAGCCCATGCAGCAGGAGGATTGCTTCCACTCACCTCTCACGGGTGATAGCAAGTCCACATTGCAATCCCTATCTAGGAGGAAGGTTGAAAAAAGGAAGTATCTGTTTGTTTCAAAATATGTTGTGGGTGGTAATTTTCCAAAACTTGTTGTGGGTGATGAACAAGGTAGAGAAGTTAGCTTAACCAACTATGACTACCACAGGCCTCCTAGCCACTGTCCAGCTATTCAGAAGCAGTTTATTTCTGTTCAGCCCTGGAATTCACCCTATTATCTGCTTTTGATATCACAACTATCCTTTATTTCAAAATTCAAAAAATTTTGTCATCCCATTTACCAACAAGTTCTTCCGGTTTTAATATTTTCTTCTGGTTCCTGTATTAAAGTGCCAAGAAGTGGACTTTTAATTTTCTGTACAAAGAGCCCTCCAGTTTTGAACTTTTCTACCTTCACATCTCACCCCCATCACCATATTCAAAGTGGTGACGTCAAGTCCCATCAACCCCACCTCAAAACTACATTTGCAGCCTGTCCATTTTCTTCAACCTCACTCTGACTCTCCTTATTTCTAGGCACCATCATTTCTCATGTTGCCCATGGAAACAGCAGCCAACTTGATATCTTCACTTCCATCCTAGATTCCCTATAATACATGGTCTACAGAGTAGTTCAAGGAGATTTTAAAAATGTAAATCAGATTATGTCGCTGTTTGCTTAAAACTCTTAACGACCTTCCTGTTGTGTGGCTCTCAAATCCCTTCTCATGGACCACACCCCTAAACTGGGAACTTCTTGAGGAAAGTGACAAACTTTGGTTCACATCCTACATTTAGCAAACAGGACAGTGCCTGTTATATATGCATGTGTTTGCGTGCAGATGTGTGTAGGAGATGAATGAATGAATGACAGAACTGTAGGTTATTGTTATCAGAATATATAAAAGATTCGTAGTAGAAACTCTTTGAACAAGTTCTTCGCTTTCACGGAAAAGATATTCCAAGG